AAAAAAAAAAAAAATCAATTTTTTTATTTATTATTATTATCACAAAGTACTATAAAATAAAATAATACTTCAAGAACATATATAATATAACAAGCATTGAGATCAGAGTCCCACTGACAACATTTTACATCTCAAATCAAGATTGTCAGCTACCTCAATCATAATTTCGGGCAATCTAAAAATCGAACTTTTTTTCCAAACATGAACTAGCAATATCAGTACATTGTAGCACCCAACATCTCCTCAGTTTTCTTGCTTTGGCTGTTTGATCAACAAGTGATTTAGACCACAGGACAAAGCATGCTTCGAAACGAGAGATGCCTTCAATATGCTCAAAGCCTGCATCAGGAATATTTGATGTCATTATCTAGTAAAAACTAAAAACACAACTTTGCTCATTGCACTTAGAATTATATTATGTATGTACCTCTTCCAATCCAACACGCACCACTCGTTCAGTTACATCGGACAAAGGAATTTGTAACCTGCCGAGATTGGAAAGATACGATGTACTAGAAGCTGGCATCACGCTTAAGTCATCGTTCACCATATATATTCTTGGTCCCTTAAACAGTGAACCGAACTTGAATTCAGTAACCTTGAGACATGAACCTCCCATAGAGGGAGAATCAGACATAAAATCGCCATTTCGAGCGTCTGGGCCTTGATAGTAGTACATTTTACCAGCTTTTTCTTCCTCAAGAGGTAAAATTTGGTTATTTGAAACATAACCATGAGGTAATGTTGGGTTGACAAGACTGGTAGCACTCTCACGGTCAAAAATATAATTACCGTTATTGAGTTCCTTTGCGCTCAAGTACAAATTGTCCACGTTCCTAAGAAACGTTTTACAGTCCAGAAGTCGCCCAACCTCTCCTATCGGAATGATGAGCAGACCAAATAGGAAATCAATGAAGTCCTCATCAGCTTGAGCAAACAATAGCTTGTTGGTCGATTTTTGCATAATGACCTTCAAATCTATACGTTCGGAATAATTGGAAGTTCGCCTTTTTTCAACCTTAGGTGGAGGAATTATCGGTTCGGCTCGCATTGCCAAATTAATCTGCCCATTGCTAAGAACGATGTCCGTCAGGGGTGTTCCAGAAAGAAACAGTCCTCTTAGCAAATCCATGACCTAAAAAAAATATATTCAGAAAAAAAAAAAAAATCATGACTAGTGAAGAAATAATGATAGGAAAATAATGTAAAATGTACCAACACTAAACCTCATTATATCCAATAATCACATCCTTCAAATCCCAATCAGTGTCTGTAATGCCAAGATTGCCAAGAATTTGTAAAACGGACGATGGAGAGTTCGGCATTATCGTCAGATCATCGGATATTACGAAGGTCGATCCACTTACAACAAAACCTCCATCACCACGCTTGGACAGCTTTTCATCACTCCTCAACGGCACTTCTCTTGTCAAACGTTCCCCACAACCGCACGTTGCAATACCCCAATACAAACTCATATTCTTCTTTATCGAATACTCGCAAGATGAATCCGGGCAGCAAAAATATCCCGTGACCCGAGAATCATTGATATTGAGTTTCAAGTTACGACACTTTGCGGCAGAGGGGCTCATTGGGTCGAGCAGTATCCGCTTGCCTGCCTCTGACTCAAAATTAGAAATGTCCAAGTCGGCCAAACCGTTATACAAAGTGGTTAGGCTACCAATTGCCGAGCACGAGTCCCCATAATGGCTCGCCAAGACTCTCACAATCTTTCCCAAGGGAAGTGTTAGAAAGCTCAGCAGAACATCTACGAACTGACTGTCGGCCTCTGCAAAGACGACTTTGGTTTTCTGTTTGTTTGTGACAACTTTTAAAGAAAATTTGGCGCCTTTATTAGACATTGTGTTGAGTATGTGAGATGAATGATGATGTGATTTCACAAAATGAAGATTTGTTGCCATTTTATAGTGACTGAGAGGTTAAACCAAGAGTTTGTCTTTGTCCCATGATGTTCTAAGTACATGCATCATTCATGGACCCTTTGTTTTCCTCTATCCCAGGCTAACACTAATAATAAATGTTAAGTACAATTTTTACCCGAGGTAAGTTTAGGTAGTTGAGGTGCTCATATTTTCGAGGTTCAACAAGGTTGATGTGTTACATGTGTATAATGATTAATGACAGCGCGTCTTGATTAACTTTACATGGGAATTTCCCTGTTTTTGTTGAAAAATTTCTGAGTAAATTGTTAGCTAGTTTTGTGTGCATTCACTGAATAATCAAGCCTGATCCAGTAAATTGTTCATGGATAGGGATGTCAATAAAATCTATAGGGTCGGGTTAGGTTACTCGTATTTTTGGGTCGGGTAAATCCGAGATGATTAGGTTTCGGGTCGGGTTAGGGTAGAATTATACTACCCAAACCCGGGTCGGGTTGGGTGCGGGTATAATAGGCAAACCTATTACCCTACCCGTTTACCCGCAACCATTGAATCATATATACATACATATACATATATATATTTATAACTTATAATAAATATAAAAGTAGTCATGTGTTATTTTTAAAAATTAGATTATCTATTATAATTTTGATTAAGGGTTAAATTTATTTTATTTTTTTATAATTTTATTATCATTTTTTGTTAATTGTATAATAAAAAAAATAAAAAATTTAAGTTTAAATGTTATAATATTAAATAGACTATAAAAGATAAATAATCATATCTCATTATTTATTCCGAAAATAATATATTTTTTATAGTTTTTATTGTCAAACTTAGTTAATAAATTATTTCTTACATTATAATTAATTGTGAAATTATTTTATTTTATTTTTTCTTATGAAATGAGATGGGTCGGGAAAAACTTAAATTTAAGACTCGAGTTACCCGCTTACCTGATGAAAACCCACTAACTCGTCGGGTAAAATCCAACCCGAACCAGAAGAAAACTAGTCAGGTAATGTCAGGTTTGAGTAGGGTAAATTATATGCGGGTCGGGTTCGGATTTGCCAAAACCCATACTCAACCCGACCCATTTACATCCCTATTCATGGATAAGTGGAGAAGTACTTTTGAAAAAATAAGTAAAAATTGGAATGCTTTTGATGATTTGAGGTGAAAATAAAAAAGACGCTTATATTTTGGTTATGAGATTGATTCTTGGTTATGAAGGATCCTTTAGAGTGTGCATGAAGTGATGGTTCAAGCAATTTGTAGTATGGTCCGACCAGAGTGAGATATAAGGGTCCTAACACGTGCACAGGGAAGCAAATTATGAGGCTGACCATATGGCGAGTGTGACGACGTCTGGCCCGATTGGATTCAGCGGGTATCCTCCCCTCCTTCAGGCATGAGAGCATGGCTCGAGCATGACGTTATTGAGGTGTCGTATCCCCGTCGAATTTTAGCTTAGGCCTTCAGCCTCCTTCATTGTATATAAAAAAAAAATGATTATATTTCCATTATGACACAAGAAATGCTTATTGGATAGACCAAAAAAAATCATAAAAAAAAACTAATGTATATAGTTATTCAATTAATTATGTATCTAAAAAAATCAGTAACGGAAAATATTTAAAAATGAAATAACCAAACAATTAAAATGTATGCAATTTTATTAAAAAAAAAAAAAAAAAATAGGCCTTTTAATTCTCGGTTACAAAATTGCACTTGCACCCCTAGGCCCTAACAAATATATATAGCAGTATAGGGAAAAATATGGAGGAGTACAAGCACGCTTTAGCAGTTGGTACCGTTTAAAAAAGGCAAGACTATAAAAAACCTTTCCCGCGGAGAAATTTCTCATTCGCCTCTCTCTCTCTCTCTCTCTCTCTCTCTCTCTCTCTCTCTCTCTCTCTCTCTCTCTCTCTCTCTCCCCCTAACGCCGCCCGCTTTTTTAGTCTCCTCTCTCAGTTGCCTTCTTCAAGCCGCTGCGTTTCATCCAAACAAGACGCTAAATTCTTAAAACCCTCAAAAGACTAGGGTTTTCCTCTGTTCTTTGCCCCGAAGCTTTTTCACATCGAACGATGGAGCTCAGGTCTCGTACCCCAGGTTCTTCCTCTTCCAAAGGTGTGTTCTTTTTGCCTTTTTCTTGTTACTTTTGCGCCTTTGAGGGCATATGTGTGTGCGTTTCTGCGTGAATTTGGGTGGGTCGAACTGGGATTTCGTTTTATCTTCTTCTTCTTTTTTTTTTTAACTGTGATGATGGGATTTAGAAATTCGAGATTTTATGAGTAGGTAAAGCGAAGCTCCAGTACACAGACACAGAGAGTTCGGATGAGGATGATTATGGGTCGATGTCTTCGGATTCGGACTATAATGCTACTGTCGATGGAGGTAATGTCTGTGATGTGTGTGCGGCTTTGATTCGGTCTCTGGATTTTTGGGCGATGATTCATTATGGTCTTGAGTTTTTGGCTTTCGTCTTGTGAGTACTGTACAACAGAGAAAGAAAAAAGAAAATTGTTTTCATTCCAGATAGTGTCTGTAAAGTGGGTTATGTGATGTTACATATTTACATACTGTAAAACTACAATAAAATTTATGAGGCTGAGACGGAGAATCTATTATTTTGAAGAGTTTTCAATTGAGAAAATTGCGAAAGTGTTCACTTTCAGGATAAGAGTTGTTTGCAGTTGTTTTTCAGGATATCAATCCCCCATTGCATATTGGTACTTATCGAAAGGATAGACAATATAGAAGTGTAAGGGGTGTGATTCTGGTGGTAATTGATAAAAGGGGCATTTTTAGTAAGGAGAAAGTGAAAAAAGGTGTCATTTTTCCAGATTTCTCTTTTCAAATAGTCGAGTGATAATTACCCCTTTCAAACAATGTGTTACTCTTGGTGAAGGCTCATTGGAGAAGGAAGTCACCCTTTATTCTGGTGAAGTCGTGAAATCATATAAATGGACACATGGTAATGAAAACGAATCTTAAAGATTAAAATTTGGGGATGTAATATTATAGCTATTGTCTTCATATATATTTCCAATGCATGATCTTTTTTGTCTTTGTCAGTTGCAGCAATAATATGTTAATAACCATTTGCTTAACTTTGCCAAGTTGAAGAATGGAATTATCTTGTGTAAGTTGAACAATTGGGGGATGTCTCTTAAGGTTGTGTGAGGTTTAGATATGGGTTGGTATTGCCGTATTGTTAGTACTAATGTTCTCCATTTGCCAAACTTACAGTAATAAGTAGCGGGTAGGAGGGTTCAAGTGTTTGTATATCCTTTTCTTTGCTGAAGTTCATAATTTATCTAACCTCCGTTTAGATGGACTAGTTAGTGTGCATTTTTTTAATATAGGCGAAGGATTGTCAAACGTACTTGAAGATTCTTCGGATTTTACATCTGAAACTAGTGATGATGAACTTCAGCATGTCTCGAAAAGGAGGAAAAGGAAAATGAATACCTCTAAGAGTGGAGAAGGACCGAGTCACAATGTTCAGGCCAACTATGAAAGAAATGCAAACACGGTCGAAATTGGTTCGAGGGGGATGAAAGAGAAAAAGCGTGCGGGAAGAAGGAATAAGAAGACGAAAACTGATAAACCCGTATTGATGTGGGAAGTACAAGAGGAAGAGATGAAAAGATGGGTTGACGAGAATCTTCTTCTCGACACGGACTTGACAAATCAGAATGAAATTGTGACTGAAACTGCAAAGCCTTCAGATGATTTGATAATACCACTGCTCAAATACCAGCAAGAATGGCTAGCTTGGGCTTTGAAGCAAGAGGAATCTAATGTCAGGGGAGGTATCCTTGCAGATGAGATGGGAATGGGCAAAACCCTCCAGGCAATAGCTCTTGTTCTTCTCAAACGAAGTATCTCGAGGGAACTCGGCCGGCAGCAGTTATCACCCGCAACCTCCCCGAGTTCTTCAAAAGAGCTACCGGCGATCAAAGGCACACTTGTCATATGCCCATTGGTTGCTGTCATGCAGTGGGTTAGTGAGATCGATAAATGCACTTCTAAAGGGAGCGCCAAAGTTCTCGTCTACCATGGTGCTAACCGAGCTAAAAATCATTACGAGTTTGCTGACTATGATTTTGTCATAACAACATATTCGATAGTTGAGGGGGAATACAGGAAGTATGTGATGCCCCCGAAGGAGAAATGTCATTTCTGTGGGAAATTGTTCTATGAAAATAAGTTGAAAATCCACTTGAAGTATATGTGCGGGCCTTTTGCTGTTAGGACAGAAAAGCAGGCAAAGCAGCAGAGGAAAAGTCCAAAGACGAAAAAGCCAGCAGACTCTGAACGCAGTAAGAAGAAAGGAAAGAAGCATGACAGTATTGAGAAGGAAATGGAGAATGACTATGCAGAAGAGGTAATGGATGCAGGAAAGACAATTTTGCACTTTGTGAGGTGGGAGCGTATCATATTGGATGAGGTAACCATTATGTAGTTTGCCTTTTTTCCTTTATGCATATAATGGATGATTCATTCTAAATGTAAGTCCATTTTCTTTGAGATTGTTAACAGTTTCCGCATGTCATGCTTATTTGGCTCGTACTAGGTATTGCCCCCTTGTTTTCCTTGCAATACGTAGTATTTCTTCCACTAATTTTTCGAAGCTGGTTGAATTTGTTCATTTCTACGTCGTATTCCCTTTTCTGCCATTTTAGATAATTGATTTCTTTTGAGTTCACTATTTTTCTCACTACAGGCACATTATATAAAAGACAGGCGCTCTAACACAACTAAAGCTGTCCTTAACTTACAATCTTGTTATAAATGGGCACTAAGTGGCACTCCCCTTCAGAATCATGTGGGAGAGCTCTATTCTCTTGTAAGTTGCTGAAGAGGCTTATCCTGCTCTGAGTTTTCTGGTTCAGCCTAACAAAAAAGGTGTTTTGTACTTTGTGCAGGTTCGCTTTCTGCAGATAGTTCCTTACTCTTATTACTTCTGCAAGGACTGTGATTGTCGTCAACTTGATTATAGGTAAGTTTGAGCACTTAGAGGAAATTGATGGAGAACAAAGACATTTTTTTTCTTTTTATATATGACCAATTTTCTAAGTGCACAATGAAGTCAGGATATATCGTGTCGGTTTTCGTCTGCTTGTTCTTTGAATAAATACTTTCTGAATGCATTTCCATGAATGTTTTGTTTCCTTTACCTTTTGTTGTACTCAAAATATTTTGTTCAATTTTCATTGTAATTAAATCATATGGACAAGGACGTGAGATAGTCTACTCATGTAAATATTACATCGATTTGAGTTGGAGGAGAAATTGAATATAACATGTCTAATTTGCTTCCTGTACACTTTAATAAACATAGTGCTGTTGTATTTAATCATAGAATCTCCTGTTATCTTGTATCCAGTATTACTAATCAATCTTTGTTTGTTACTATAAATTAGTAAATGTCGATGTCTAGTTGAGCAATTTATTAAAATCATCTAGACCATCACAAAAAGGATTTTAGATTAAGTATCTCCATTCCTAGTCTTTTGGCTCTTCACTTTTGTTTGTAGTTTGACTTTCAATTCCGTTCAGGCTGTGCTCATAAATGTTTGAACATTATATATGATGCAGTTCAAGGCATTGCCCATGCTGTGGTCATAGAAATTTTTGGCACTTCTGCTGGTGGAATAGAGTAAGTAATTCAACAAATAGAACTTTTTCATCTCGGTGCTGTATTTTTAACTTTGATTAAATGTTGAGACATTAGCTTGTTAACTGTGTCAGTATATTTCTTCACCAATGAAAGAATCTGGAAATAATGGGCGTGGCAGAGAGGCCATCCTTTTGTTGAAGCACAAAATTCTTAAGAGCAGTGTGTTAAGACGTACCAAAAAGGGCAGAGCTTCTGACCTGGCGCTTCCAAATAAAATTGTATGTTACTCTTGTTAAAGCACATAAATATGAACAATTAGTATGGTTTGTATTTTATTATTCACCAGAAATTTTAAAATTCAGGTTACTTTAAGACGCGATACCCTGGATGTTGTCGAAGAAGATTATTATACTGCACTGTACAATGAGAGCCAGGCACAGTTCAACACGTATTTAATCTCGAGACTCTTGAATTTATCATTTTTCTTGTTATTTAGGATTATTAATCTGTACATAAATTTCAAATACTTATTTAGGGAGCTGGAGTTTTGTCCAAATTGCAATGTGAAGTGTTCTGAGGAAACAACTCATTTGGACACTTGTCCTTTTGCTAGAGTTTTTCTTTTATAGTTTCTTTATTTCTAATTGTGCTTAATTCATAATATCTTCTATTTACAGATATGTTGAGGCTGGAACTGTATTGAATAATTACGCCCACATATTTGATCTTCTAACTCGCCTTCGACAGGTTCTGGGATCTTGCAGCCTTTTATATATCATCGTTATGACTTGTGCATCTGTTCTCCAAGCTTACAAGTTATATCTTAGCATTTCAATATATTCCCAGTTTATGTATATAGTGCCGAGCCAGTTCCCTTAAACACGTTGCCTCAGTTTAAAGAGTACAAAGCTGTTTATTTTCTTCCCAGTTTGTTAATATTCTGGTGATATCATTGCACAATAACCTTTGATTTATCATTTATGCTTAATTGTTGAGCTTCCTATGCATCATGAACACGATTCCTTGTAGAAATTTCTACGAAGTATTTTCTCCTTCATTGTCATGCAGGCAGTTGATCATCCATACCTTGTTGAGTATTCACTTTCTGCAATGGAAAGGAAGGGTAAAGCAGTTGAAAGTAGCAATGGTCAGATATGTGGTTTATGTCATGACCCTGAAGAAGATACAGTGGTGAGATTTGAACACAATTCAACTGTGTAATTTTGATTTCTTCTTAGAAATTTGTAATCCACCCAAGAATTTTGACTAGATTTTATTTGCATCTGTGTAATGTCTCTTCCTTTGGCTTTGTTTTCGTATTTTCAGTTTTTTTTTTCTGATTTCGAATTTGCCACCTCTAGGTTGCATTATGTGGACATGCCTTCTGCAGACCTTGTTTGATTGATTTTGGCACTAGCATGGGGCAAAACTCATGTCCTTCTTGTTCGAAGCCACTTACTGTTGATTTCACCTCGAATAAAGAGAGCAAGGAACATAGTTCGGAAACAACTGTCAAAGGATTCAGACGATCGAGTATTCTGAATAGAATTCAGCTCCATGAGTTTCAGACAAGTACTAAAATAGAAGCCTTGGTATGTTATGCTCAGAACTCCCTGTTCCTCATAAGAAGAGCGAAAAAATGGAAATGCAGAGCGAAACGGCTTTTTAAATAAATAAATAAATAAACTGATTTGAACAACTTTCGGTTTACTTTATTACAGAAAGAAGAAATCACGGTTATGATTGAAAGAGATGGTTCTGCGAAGGGGATTGTCTTCAGCCAATTCTCATCTTTTCTGGATCTCATACGCTACTCCCTTCAAAAGGTGACCTTGCATGAAAACATGTCTCTTTATTTATTTTTATTTTTTGGCCATCAATTGTATAAATTAACTAAATTAGCAAGACCAAGTTACTACTTTCTCTTGTTTTCCAGAATGGAGTAAACTGTGTTCAATTAGACGGGTCCATGTCCATGGGGGCCCGAGATTCTGCTACTAAAAGATTCACCGAGGACCCTGATTGCAAAATCTTCCTAATGAGCATGAAAGCAGGAGGCGTAGCCCTCAATCTCACAGCCGCATCACATGTAAGAAACCTTTTTCTTTTAATCATTTTTATCATATCTGAGTTAAATGGTGTTTTTCTGTCAGATCTTTCGTCATTCATTTCGGTTGATTATTGCCAATTTTGGTAGGTTTTCTTGATGGATCCTTGTTGGAACCCAGCTGTCGAGAGGCAGGCTCAGGATAGAATATACCGAATAGGACAACATAAACCAATCCAGTTAACTTGTTGATTTTCCTCGTATGTGATTGAAGTCAGTATTTTTGGTGCTAACTTATACGTAAATTCTGTTTTCAGGATAGTCAGGTTTATTATTGAAAATTCTGTTGAGGAGAGGATATTGAAGATACAGGAGAAGAAGGAACTGATGTTTGAAGGGTAAGTTTAGTGTTCATTTCTATTTGCTTCTACTGTTTTGATTTATTTTCATTTGAATGTGTTCATTCATTTTTCTTTTCAACTGTTTCAATTGATCGTGCGCCCTTTTTTCCTCGTTCTTCGACATGATTATTGTGCTGAAGGACCGTGGGAGGATCTTCTGAGGCGCTAGCGAAACTGACCGTAAATGATTTGAAGTTTCTGTTCATGAAATAAATAAACGATCATATTCGTTTGTCAAAGTACCGGATTCTGAACTACATTCTGTTGCTTTCGGTAGAGAAAAAAAAA